TATCGCAGACTCACGAACTCTCGTCTAAAGTAACTTTTGATTTCACTTAAGTGTAATTCTGTACCTTAAACAGGATAATAGCTTAAATTTCTTTTTCTTAGCAGGGCCTTTTGGTTTTGACCTCTCACACTTTTAATAACTTTAAACTTTTGGGGCGTGGTATGTAAATAACATTCAAATGTGTCCTCTGAAGGGATTTTAAAAACTAGATGGTGGGTGGGGAAGGCGTCGAAAAATTCCTGTGTCAGAACAGCATTTTTAACTACGAAGCAGGTTCTGTTTCACAGGAAAGAAAAGATCTGAAGCATAAAGCGCGCATGCCTGTCAATGCTAATCGCTTCCCGCTGCCGAGCTCGCCGGGATGATGATCTCTGTGCATCGATGCCTGTGTTGGATGCGGTGGTTTGACCTCACCCAAATTTGGGGACAGCAGCTAAACTTTTTTAGCGTAGTACTCAACACTGAGTTTTGCTGCAGGATTCTTCTCTCGCTGAGTCGTCTTGCATGATATATTTGACAGTTCTTACTGTTTCCTGATGTGTCGCTTTTAAGTTGAGACTTCTTTAATCTGGTCTTCTTTTTTTTTTTTTCTCTCCTTGCTAAGGCAGATCTCTATCTGCTGCCGTGGGTTTTATGGCCTAGGACTGGCTTAGTGCAAAAGGAAACGAGTGAGTCACCCGCAGAAGTTGTCAGCAGGCTGGGAGGGAGCTCCGCGGCGGGGGTGGATAGGGTGGAACAGTAAAATTTTTGACCTCACCCCTCTCTAGGCACGTGTCGTTCTGAGCAAGCTTCCTTCAGAGAGCGTTCAAGAATTTTTTCCAAGAATGTTAGTTCCAGAGTTTCTTTTCTCTGTATACTAGGAGAGTATATTTTAGAAAAGTTGGTTGCTTTGCTTCTCGCTAATGTGCGATTCCACTGTTTTAGGTCTAATTTTGGGTGATTTTTTTCACTTGGAAATCTCCTTGTGCTCCGGATGAAGCAGGACGTGTTGACAGCGTATGGACAGAATGCGGGTCGCTTAGCGGGGCAGTGCAGGAAGGGGAGGTGAAATGTGACGTATGCGGAGTGTCGGGAAAAGCCCGGCTGGGCTGCAGCGTCAGATCGGGATGGCAGTTTTTGTAGGATCAAAACCGCGTGCCGGCAGCGTGCTGTGGTGCTGACTTCTCCTGTCTAAGTGCAAACAACAAGAATGAGGTTTTATAGAAGAGGAGAAAAAAAGAGGAAAAATTCAACAGCTCGTGACCTCACTTTTTTAACGTTGAATGCGGATTCCCGCTTACAGGAATAAAATCAGTTGAGGTGGTTTCAAAATACTGGTCTTCAAAACACTGAGGTATTCTTTTAGTACTGACTGACAAATTAGCGGGCTTTGCTGTGCATCCTGTGCGCTGCGTTATTTTGAAAGGTGATCCAAGTGACCTTTCCAAAGGTATCCGTGTTTTGCAATCTCTGGAAGCTGCAGCTGTTGCAGGCTGTTTCACTGTCTCCGTGTAGCGAAGGCAGCACTTTTACCGGCGTGTTTTGAAGGAGATGGTGGAACCAGGAATTCCTTACAATATTATTACTTGTTTTTCATTAGACCTGTCTCCCTGAACTCGTGTAAGCTCAATACAGAAGAGCAAATGACTTGCCCTATTGAAGCGTCTAATGTAAGAGTCAATGCAATGACAGACGAGGCGGCCACCGGAGGTGAACACTATAGGTGTGTTGGATTTTTACTTAAGGCAATCTCAAGTGAAGTTTCTGTCAAGTCAGGAATTCATTTAACTGTTCCCTCTTAGTTAATCACCCTGATTTATTTATGCTAGTTAATACCACTGCCCCTTGCTTATCTTTTAAGCATATTCTTGCACGTTCGTGGTATTTTGAAAGACGTTCTTCTCAAACCGGCCTCATTAAGCTTTATCAAGGCGTGTACGGCTGTGCGAGCGTGAGAGGTGGGGAGCTCACGGTGCTGTTAGTTATAGCTTAAATTAGTCCTGTCTGTAGGTGCAGAGACTGTCACAGCTCACTAAACTTAGTTGTCCAGATAGGCATCTTGATTAATGATTATTCCCTGCTAATTAAGTTAAACAACATCAGGAGCTGACTCCCAAGCATATCTAGTTCTTCTCAGATGCGTGAGAGGCTATTGCTTGGCTTGTTTGTGCCGCTGTCTCTGCTTTTTCTCCTCCTCTGGTTCCTGATGGAGCTGTTGCACCTCATCCCGAGCGTTGACGTGTTGGATACTTCTGCTCCCTTTCTGAGGCCAGCCACATAAAACATGTAGTAACTTTTTGGTTTCTCTCCATGTGCTATCTCATTTTCTAAGTATAAAAAGTTGAAGGTTAATTGGCTGAAAAATTATTTCTTGGTTTATGTTGTGCATAGACCTGGTTACTATTTACTGTTGTCAGTTTGATAGAGCTCAGTTCTCTTGGGATTTTGAAGTGCAAATTCGCTTGCTAACACAGGGAGGAAGAAATTTTAAAGTATTTACTTGGGGAGATCAGAAGTTCTAGACAATAGGGTTTTTCCTGTTTTTCATTTCCTTAGTTAGAAGCCTGGTTTTTCTTTTTAAACTGTAGCGTAACAGCAGTTGAAAGTCATGGGGGGAAGGGATATACGTGTCAACCAAACTGTTTTAAAAATAGGGTTATGTGCTACATGAACTTCTTATCCTTCTGGAAATCATTTTTCAGACTTAAATACAGTGCTTTTCATTTTTAATCACTCCTTAGCTATTAGCTAATTAAATGCTTCAGTAATATTCCTTTGGGGAAGGTGAGATGGTGTCGTTCCTGTTCTGCAGATGAGTTGAGCTACTGAAAGTGGCTTGGCCAAGGTCAGAACACGAGCAGCTGCAGATCTGAGGGTAGGACTTGAGTTGGTGACTCCCCCCCGCCATACTTAATTTACTGGAACATGTCATCTCCATGTGTCCTTTCCTAATGACTTGGTAAATAGTTTTTACAAAAGACCTTTAAAATAATTGGGTTGAAATTCCCTCTTTGATTTGCTTGAGGGAGGAGAAGCGTAACCATAATGACCTGGTTTGATACAACTCACAGTGCAAATAGCGCTGGATGAGGCTCTTCCAGCCAAATTATTGGTGCTGAAAAGAAAAATGTTTAAAGGATTTGTTTAAATATGACACGGTGGCTGTTCCCCTCACGACAGTGTACTTTGTAATGCTGTAAGCCTCTGGTACTCAGGATCCAAGTATTGATCTCCTATGCCAAGATCTGTTGACCACTGTTTTTATTTAAATGACCTTGTTAGGTCCTAAAAAGTTAGTTTTGAAACTGTTCCTGTAATGTAAATCTGCAGGTCACTTTCCAGGACATGTCGGGTGACTGGAGTGTGTGTTCAGATGGGGGAAAAACAGGCCAGTATTTGCCTGAAAACGGACTTTCTTGCATCAGGTTTTACAGGTGTTGGACACATGTGGATGCTGTAACTGCAGTCATTCTGTTCCCGGCGCATCGTAGCCATAGCAGACTGTAATGCATTCTAACAAAGCCGTTGCTTTGAGATTCGGTAGTATATATGAGAGAGTTGTGACAAATGTGCAAGCATCGACAAGTGTAAGGACTTGAGGATGATGTGTTTAGATGGGACTCTTCCATCTGGGGCGAGACTTCATCCTGTAGTCATTACGCTGATAAAATATTCCAGGATTCATTTTTGAAATTTGTATTTCAGTCACTCAGAGGAAGAACTGTGTTAAGGTCGGGGGAGGTTATTGAAAACATCTTTGCTCTTGCCTCTGGCAACCTAATTAATGTATTTTTTTGGCATTGAAAGCTGTTCTTCAAGGAAATAATTGCTGTTCTTTGGGTGATTTTTGACTTCATGTCAGTGAAAAAGGTAATTTTGTAGTACTTAATTTGACTGTTTTAAAGTGAGGATCTCATTAAAATGTGGAGCGCACCAGAAGTTTAGGGTGTGAACTTCCACGCGTGTGTGTGTTTTTCCCTAATTGCATTCACTTGAGTGTGCCACGTTGACCTTTCCGCTTGAGTTGCAGGTTTGTGACTTCTGTCTGCTGGTTTGGATTTTAGTCAACTGATTTAAAACTTCTTCCTTAAGAAAGAAATGTCAGCAGAGATTCTTTGGCTGCACGCTTTTTAAATGCAGTGAAAAGCCATGTTACTTAGGTAGTATTTCAGCCTTAAATGAGTTGAGCTAGTTTAGGTTAGCTCCATTTTCATCCCCCTGAACTTCGTGGTAGAATTCATTTTCCATCTTTTATTGTTGCTGCTCAAACATCTGTATTTTGAATCCTGTGTGTTAGGACTGGAAGCTGCCGCTGTCTTAATGCCCTAGTCTGTAAACACAGATAAGACTGAGAATAACTAAAAGTTATTACTGCTAAATGACCGTTTGGTTGCTTTTGAAATAACTGATTTCTGGAGGATATCTCCCTGCTACTGATGGGAGTTTGGCGATACAATAACGTTGGTGAAACTTAGCTGCTAGCAAAAGCTCAAATACACGGCAGCTATACTCTTATTTCTGTTTGTACTGCTTATTTTGTTCAGAAAATTAAGCCATACCAACAATATTTTTTACACATCTGGGCTGAAGCCAAACAGGTATGACCGTACCAACAGACACTTTCAAGCGTGTATTGGGCTTTGTGCTGTTTTCTCCTCTTTTAGGGCACCTGGTTGGGAGGGAGGAGCCGCGGAGAGCACAGAAAGGTTTCCTTGTTCTCTGTTCCGGTGCCTGGCTGCCAGGAACAGCAGTTACAAGAAGTCCCGTGTCTCTGGGCTTGAGCGTACTCAGTGCCGAGAGAATATTCGGGATTACAACTATCGGGATTCCAGTAAAGACTGATTTTTATTTTTGCCCTTTTTTTTTTTTTTAAACATAGCCTTATCTAGTCTAATTTGGGCTTCTCTGGGAGGGTCAATATTTGGTGTTTCTGGAAGTAGAAGCAACAATTCGTCTTACATGATATTTTTCTTCTCTTTAGGTGTTCTGTTGGAATATACGTCGTACATTTATGGCGATTCTGAGTGTGAGGGCAGACTTCTGCCAGGCCCAGCACAGCATCCTGGCTGACAAGTGAGCTGAGCGCAGGGGGTTCTACGTGCCATAATTACTTTGCCTTGAAGACTCCAGACACAGCAAACACACTCAAATATATGGGATATCTTCTGCACATTGGAAGCATATTCCTTTTACTGACTCTAGCAAAACTAAGCATCAAGAAAACAAAGTGGAGAGAAAATCTGCCCTTACTTTTTTGCCTCACCAGTGCCTAAATGTAGAACAGGCTGCCTAGTCTTACATCTAGTCAGAGTTTTTGGAGTCTGAAGGATACCACCTGCAGTAATTGAGGCCGAAGTTGAATTCAAGTGGATTCTGAAGCAAACCTGCTTTTCTAGAAGCGAGTTCTTTAAGGAACAAACACGTCAAAGCAAGCTCTGATCAATCCCAGGCGTTTTAGTGGTCTTTTTAATGTTTTCTGCTGTGAAACGTTTCCAAGGTTATTGATTTTTTTTTTTTTTTTAATTTTATTTTTTGGCCCCTTACACATTTTTTTTGCCATTATGAACCGTCCAGCCCCCGTGGAAATTACTTACGAGAATATGCGTTTCCTGATCACTCACAACCCAACCAATGCAACCCTCAGCAAGTTCATAGAGGTAAGGCAGTCAAATATTAAGTCTCGTCCTTTCCTGATACGCTCATAGTTTCTGTAGAAGTACTGAACAGTCATTCTTCACACCTGATGCTCAATGCTTTGGCCGTATGTTACATCTTACTTGAAACGGAAGGTGTTTTTATCTTTAATATATTGTTCACATTTGCTTGACAGCATGAGAAGAGAACCCACCGATTACTTTTTCCAGAGTCCTGCGTTTCTTTAATTGTGGGAGGCTGGATCAGCTCCCATTTTAGAATTCAAACACACACCCTTGCCATCGTTCTTGTCCTGGTTTCTGAAGGACTGCATGTTCTGCTATTCTAAACGTTATTTTTTCATTAAATAATGCGGTGCTTCTAATAAGTCGATCTATTGCTCATCTTTTGGCTTTTAGAGAAGTAGTTAACAGAATTGTAACTGGTTGCTGACCTTTCTTCTCCCTTAGAGTAGGATTAAGCGCGATACTTAAACTGATGTTTTAGTTTACCGAATGTGTTCTCAAACTGCCCTGCCGATCCCAGAATTGTCAGAGATTTCAGGCGCCAGAATTTATCCATGAAAAATGACATCTACCTGGCTCGACCTGTGGGAAGAGTCAGTTACGCTGGGCAGTGGATCACACCATTACTGACACAGTAAGATCTTAAATGCAGCAAAATTTAATATTTACTTTTCTGAAAAAGTAACAGATGGTATCACCAGAGAAGTAGTAGTACAGTGTATTTCTGCATTCTAGTTTGCTCCAAACCTGCTGTATCTTTGTGCCCTTATATCTAGAGGGCTTCTATCTTGTGCGTGCAGGTCTTTTTCATTCCAAAGAGATCCTGTCATCCGATACTGATGTCTGACTGTGGCGATTAACAGCCTTCCATCATTTAGCAGTGTGCTCTTCACCATGAGTCTGCTCAGATATTAGTGGTTAATTTTGTCTGAAAGCCACATTCTTTTGGTCTTTATATTCCCCCCCCCCATTATTGTGGCTTGCCTTCCTCTTTCAGGAGTCTTGACTCTGGAATAGATATTACTGCTAATTGTTAGAAGTTACAGTGATTTATTCCAAACACGAGAGGAAATTCTGCTTGCTGTATGAACCTTCAAAGTGAACTGGAACAGCTTTTGTTTGATCTTCTGATTATTTATCTAGCACAATGTGCTACTTATAGTGCATTACAAGGAAGCTAGAGTATGGTGGTGTGTGTGTTCTGTTCCTCCCTGCCTCAAAATGTCAACACTGGCTGAAGCAAACAGTTCCAGGCTTCTATTTAAAGAGAAGAAGAAGCTGCATGGAGAATATAAGCAGCTATTTTAATTTTGCTTTTCTATATGCAGTTTTTTCCACCCTGGCATTTCCCTAGAGATGAAGAACTCGGAGGTATTTCATACTTATTCCTGTCACTTGTAACCCTTGTCCTAATGTAGGCCATAACCCCCCCCGTTCTGAGTTGGCCCTTTCTCCTTCCTTGTGTAGTCACCTTGAAGCTCCGCAACACTTGCGGTACCGCTGACTCTGTGTAAAATGTTTAGTTTTGTAGCTGATGAGAAAGTTCTTGGATTCTTCACTCTGTCAGTGTGCTCACATGTTTTCCTTTTTCTTAAAGGAGCTGAAGAAGTACGGAGTGACAACCTTGGTGCGAGTTTGTGATGCCACTTATGATCAAGCTCCTATCGAGAAAGAAGGAATCCAGGTTCTAGTGAGTTGCCTTTAAAACTGTCTAAAAATGAAAAATCTCTTGTCTAGAAGTGGTGGGGATGGCCTTCAATGCTTTGGGCAAGAGCTTGTGACTGTTTGAGATGGCCGAAAGCAATGTGATCCCCTGCATCAGCTAAAGCTGGTTTTGAGAAACTCACTCTACTTTTGTGAAGGGTACTTGCTGATTCATTACTATCACCTGAGCGCTTAGAAACATCTGTTCCTGGATTTCTGGACTCGTGGAGATATTTTGGTTGCCTTTTAGTGCCTAGGTTGATACTAATCCAATGTTCAGCCTTGTGGTTCATACAACTTGGTTTGGTCCTTTTCTCTAGATACAGCACTTCTTGGCTTTACGGGTGACCTTCTCGGGATGCAGATAAAACTCCCTTCTCTCGCTCGTTCAAAAAGTGCCACCTTTTGAGACCGTAGCTGACACGTTGATGCAGGTTTCCATGGACTGGCTGTAGCAGGATATTGATCAATAGCCTCGTCACTGCTCACCCCTAAATGGAGCCTGGCTGCTGGTGGCTTCCCTTTTCAGCAGGGGGAATTCCTTACCTGCATCTCAACCTTAACTGCTACTCAGAGTTAACATTATGCAATGACTGTCTGACGCTATCGTCTAGTACTGCTTGGTGTTTTAGGGGAGGTTTTTTTAATAGGTGTGTGCTCATACCAAGCTTGCAGGCGGTATTTTTCCAGGCAATACTTCTGAATTATTACAGTGTGTCAGATAGAATCAGTTTATTTTACTGGAGTGAGTAATACTCTGTTGGGAGGCCAGAAATTGCATCTTACCTTCTTGTTGCAGGTAGTCAGTCTTCTGTTGCCTCTTGATTTTTATGGCTCAGTCAGAGGGAAACTTGCCGCGGTTTTCCATTAGGAGAAAAACTTGTATCCTGGCGTATCTGTGAAAACTCCACGTACAGGTCAGTCAGGTTGCTTGGCTCCCAGCCCTGGTAAGCATTTACTCCAGTTCCAGGCAGCCACGTGTGCCTCGGTGTTGTTGGAAAAATCAGTCACTACAGGGCTACCGGTGCTCCTAGGGCTGCGCTCTGGAATAGCATTTTTGTTCACTCTAGAGCTGCCCTGGACTTGAGCATCACAGTATTTTTGGGCATGCTGCTGTGCAACCTCTAGCTGCGATACTCCTAAGGTTGCCAGAGACTGGAAGGGTTAGTCTTAGGGCGTGGAAGCCCTCAGAGCCCTGATTTAAGCTGGGGCTTAGAGTATTTCTGTGTTCCTGTGCCAGAGCACAGATCTGAGTTCTTCCTAGCAGACTTAGGAGAGTTTTGCAGGTGTCAGCTCTGCCAGGGTGGCTGCGCTGTGAGGCCAGCTGACCTCGGCTCCTGCAGCTGTGAGCGAAATCCTCCTTCCCCAGCCCATGGCCAGGGCCTCTGGGGCAGCTGCAGGAGCCGGGGAGCGCTCTGTGCTCCGGAGCCTACGCTTCTGAAATAGCTTGGGGATTTTGGTTCTCAAGAAACTTTAACAACTTGGTATTGGCTAGGTTTGAACTGAAAGCAGTTTTTTGAGGAAGCTGTTGTAAAAACTGGAAATGCTGTTTCCGCCAGCTCTGCTAAGCACCGTTCTGTTGGAGAGCCTTTCCCTCTGAGTAACATGCGCGAGAGTCTTGCATCTGTACACGTTTGCCTCGGCTAACAAGCCTCTCTGCATTTGGTACGTACCAGTTCTTAGTGTTCCACTGCTGCAGAAGGCAAAACAGGAGAGAGCATAAATCCACCAGGCATCTGTTAAGGGTTACAGAAAGCAGGAGGTGGCAGAGAAGGTTTGCTGCTAATGTCAACACTGATCCTGATGATCCCAGTCATGAGGTTGTCTTTAGTAATTTACTGTATTACAATAGTGTTTTGCTATTTGAGATTAAGTCACTGACGTGACCACCTCCTGTGTAGCTTTTCCTTCCTATGAATGCATGCTTTTTCAAAGCAGAGTCCTGTTGCTGTTCAGAAATGGTATTGAATTACCATCTGGCTGAGAAAATAACACATCGCTATTTAAAGCTAATATTTGCTTGCAAAAATAACATTAAGATTAAAAACACAGCCTGAGAGAGATTAGTGTCTATTTTAAAACTGTTGAGGTCAAGCGTAGCGAAACCCCTGAAAATGAGAGCATTTTAGCAAAGCCTGCTCTCATGCCGTGATGCAGGATCGTGTACTGGCAAGATGGGTAGAATGTGGCAGCTAGAGAGTCGCTTTGGCAGATGGCATGGTGAGAAAGTAGAGAATTAGATGTTCCATGTTCGAAGTAGTACTATTGCATGCGCATGTTTATCAACAGAGATTAAATCCAGGAGGCGGGGATGGATTTAGTTCCTGTGGGCTTCTGCAGTTCTTAGTTATGTTCATGCGTAAGGTCTTGTAACATAGAAATGCTACATTGGAAAAACTGGTTGGTTTTTTTGCTGGAAGTATTTTTTCGCTGGCTGGCACCCAAGGAGGCTGCGATAGTTTTGTTCATCTTCAGGATCTAAGACGCGTTTCATTGTTCTGCTTCTGTCGGTCCTTCATTTACTGCTCATCCCTGGATCAGCCTTTCTTTCCACTCTGTGCCCTCTGGAACGGCCACCACCACCCGAACGCTCGCAGGCGGTCGGGAGCGCCCGTGTTAGAGCCGGGACTTCGTTGCCATCTGATATTTACTGCATCGCCATGGCCTCTGGTATTGAAGGTGGGCAAGTTCCACGCCGGTGGCTGCGGTCCCATCCCACGCAGACGCAGGCAGTTCTGGGAGCATTTTGCCGCAGTAACTTCAGCGCGAGTGCGCGCGGGTTTTGAAGAAAGGGGTCTTTGTCACTTAAAGTCCTGTTACTGCTTCTCGGTCATCTCAGTTCTGCATTGCCCATCCTGCAGTCCTTGCTGACTGACAAGCCCAGAGCTGTTCTGCTGAGTAAGGCTGCTCCAGATAAAGGGTAAATACGAATAACCCTTCCTTGCCCACCATCACCTGCAGGCTGGCACAGAAGAGCTATATGTTCCGTTTGGGCAATCTCAGTGCATCATCCCGGTTATTAATGACTGTTTTGGTTGTGGAGCCTAGCAATTTGTTTTCTATCCTGTCCGACAGGAATTCAGAGGTGATGCTGGCAGAACTCATAATCAGGAAAATAACTGCAAAACTTTGCTGCAATTGCTCCTCTAGTCCCAGAAGTATTCTCGTTCCTCGTTCTGGGCAGCGTCCCACGCAGCAGTGTGTTATCAGTGCTAATTTACTGTCAGTGGTGCACCATTCCTGGGAAGGTGATGATCTGTGGGGAAATGACGATTGTCATTAATTCAGGCCAGCACAAGAGCTGCGTGGCCATGATGGTTAACGTGTAAGCTAGGGCAACGTAGTAACCTCCTGTATTTGGTCTGAAGGAAAGGATTTAATTTAATCCAAAACTAGGACAGGGAACTGACACGTAAATCCTGTTTTTTGCAAGGCAGTTTCAAATGAAAGCATCTTGCAATGGGTAATGCCTCTGCTCTTGGCAGACCATACATCTCTTCCTGGGACAGTAGATGACACTAGGCCTAAAATAATACAGCTAGCAGTGTGTAATCGAGTGGAAAATCTCATAAAAGCCTTTTATTAGAAGAACAAGTTTTACTTTAGGATCTTGTTTCTATAGTCTTTTATTTTGCTGTGTTGTCCCAGGTAGTTTTAATTTCCCATTTGCTTTAAAAAAGTTCCCTGCACTCTTCAGACTTTGTGTATCTTTCTGTATTAATTGCATATAAAGTTATTTCAGGAACTTAAAAGCTTTTTGGTTTTGTAGTTCTGAGACGCAGATTTCCACCTTGCAGCTTTTTAAGTGCTAACACATTTATAAGGTGCTCTCGGGCTGAGGTCTGGGCTAAGCTGTACTTGCTACTCACGGCGTATTAGGGTAGCAGTAACTGCATTTCAAAACGAAAAGTCTGGCGGATTTTTACCTTTGGTTGTACTTGTTCAGAGGTTCTGCGTGCTGCTTTCAGGCTTCAGAGAATATTACTTCATGTTAACCTGTTCTCAAGATCCTACATGGAAGAGTTGGTTCTAGCCAAGGAGGGAAGAGGAGGCCTCCTTTCAAAGCGATTTCCCTGCCATTTGGAGAGGTGGTTGAATAATACAAAGCTCTGGCCACGAGTCTCTCTTGTAAAATGCATCGCAGTCGTCTGATGAAAAGTGCGAAGTAACTACTAAGTGTTCTTTTTTTTTTCCTTGCGTCTAGGAGTGCTCTTTCTACAGCACTCCCTGTGTCTGAGAAGATTATAAAGCATGTGATGTTGTGCTTGGTCTTGAAATACAGGACATGTAGTACTCCACTTAGCACAAGTTCCAGGAGAGAGCTGTGACCTCAAGAAAATGGGAAGCTTCTCGCATGTAATTTTGATTTACAGCCATGTTGATGATACTAAATGTGGCCTAGGTAGTGTAAATGTTGGCTGCCCCTTTAATAAGCAGAAATGTAATTGTAAATGCTAATTAGTTGGTGACTTTGTCTTTGTCTAAGCACTCTTCCTTTTTTTGCTTGTGAATGTATTTTTTTGACTTGAAAATACCCAGGTCATTTTAACTGGCTTGCTCGTTGGAGACATGGCAGCTGGAGAAGCTGATCCATTTGAGCTGTTATGAAGTACCTTCTCCTCTGTACAGAGTCTGCAGTACAAATAGTGTTGTAAAAGGTTGACACAACCACAGGCAAAAGTCGACAGAGTTCTGATCTTTCAAATGTTTATTCGAAATGTCTATTGATTTTTACATATTTTTAATAAAATGAGATTTCAAGGGCAGCTATTTTTCTAAAAATTCTATACTACAAAGGAGTTAGTGTAGAATTTTATTGAAATTTTATTGAAAAGTGCATTAAATGGTTGTTAAACATTTAGTGCTGCATTATGATATTGACTTGCGAACTTCTGTGCAACCAGAAAAATACCCACAGCACTGTTCGTGTAGTACGCCCGTC